TATATATATATATATACACACACACGGTGCTTTTTTAGAACAAAATGCAAAGGAATCATGAACATGTTAATTCTGTCAGTGATACCCAAGAAGTAACTTTAGATTTTGCAACTTTTTTGGAACCTGCAGTTACGAATGTTAACCATAAAGATGAGCTGCCTGCTGTCCTCATTCCTAACAGTGGAAACATTTCTACACAGCCTGAACCTGTTCCCAGTTAACTTGATGACAATTCACCTCTAAACAAGCCTACTGATCAGGAACAACAAGTGGAAGATGAATGACGGATTCAACAATACAAGAGGAAGAAAAAAGAAATGCCTCACCTCTAGAATCTCCAGGATGACAGTTTGATTGTCTCGGGTGGAAACCCCCTTCATAGTCTGCTGTCGGACTCCATTCCTAGAACCCCTCCCCTTCCCATTATGATTGACCTCCTCTACTCTTGCTCGGCGTGCTTCTACGATTTCATGAAATCTAATTGGATTTTTGGGGTGTACTTGTACATTTTAACCTTTTTTGACTCTTGTATGCCTCACTAAAACGTTTGTACTGACTTTCCATCAATTAAATATTTATTTTGGCTTTCAGATAACTGAAAATTATTTTTTTAAATATAAAATTATTTAGCAATTTTTAATTTATATGTTTTGAGTTTAGTTCATTAAAAAATTATTTTATGCTCATAATATATGTATATATGATAAACGTGTCATGAGCACTAAAGTTGTTTAGATTGTTTCTTGGCTTGCATATTAATGTAAAAGAAACTTTTATGCATCATATTGAGTGTTATGTTTTGAAAACATTGTAAATATTAGCACTATGTGTACCACTGATCTCTTATGTAGCTTTTAGTTTTCTGCTGTTTCACTACGTTTCCAGTTGGAGCTTATAATTGTAATTCACTTGCATATGTAAAGTCTTTACATGGTTTTGTCCGTTTCTTTGTTAATAAGTTAATATTTTAACTTTTCAGATCGGATCTCATTTTAAATGTCTTCTTGTTGTTATAAAGAAGATGTGCTTTTTTGTTTATGGTGTTTGCTTGAAAGTTATTTATTTTTGTTTTATTGATTTCTCCTGAATTTTTGTTTTCTTATGTTTCCATTTTGGTGTTTGAATAGAAGATATTCTTATATGTGTATCCATCTGGGCGGTGCTACTTTGTAACTCCAACATATTTCAAACTTGGTGAACTTTGAAGGCCGTTTTCTTTCATTAGAAGCAACCAGATTAAAACCCTATTTTGATGGAGCATTCAGTTGATATTAATGGTCATGATTATACCATAAATATTACTAGAGGTGATTCTTATGCCACTTTCATCTCTGATGATTTAACCTATAATGGCTCGAATGAATTACATAGTGAAGTGAGGGCATCAAGAGACGTCGAAGGTTCTGTCTCTCGATCACCTTCACCAATCACTGCCTCTAGTTTTAGAAATGCTTTTCTTACTGGAAGACGAGACAGTCGTGGCCGTCGTCAAAGAAGTCTTCTCAACTCTGGTTTGTGGATCTCAATTGAGCTGATTGTCAACGTGTGCCAAATTTTGGCAGCTATCATTGTTATATCCTTGTCACAGAATGAGCATCCACGCGTACCATTATTTGCTTGGGTTATTGGTTATGCATTTGGTTGTGCTGCTACACTTCCACATCTTTATTGGCGCTATAGCAACTTCAATAGTCAAGGATTTGACCAAACATCATCACAATCACAGCCGTCTTCATTCCAGAATATATATTCTGAATCTCCTTCAAACACTGTAGTTTCTTTTACACAGAATACGGAAGGAAGTGGAACCCCTGGTACTGCTGTATTCTCAAGGTTGGATCAATATTTTATAGGTTCTACTTCATGGTATTTTCAGCTACTAAATTTTATGATATTATGAGTTTGGTGATGCTTAGCATAGCATGGTATGATGCTGTTGGACTTGCCACTTGGCCTTAATTAAGCTCCTTGGGTCTGGTCTAGGACTTGAAAACAAACACCCTATTATAATCGCAATTTTTGGTACTTCAAGCCAATTGCATGAAACTTTTTTGAAGTACCGGATCTAGGAAAGAGGGTAAATTAGGTCAATTCAATTAAGTATGAAATGTACTAATCAAGCAAATTATGTATTGTATATCATAGAAACTTCTATTATTTTATATCATATCTAACTATAATTTATGTCATTTGCTAACTTCTAGATTGTAGAATTCCTGCACCTTTCTTTAGCATCATAAAATTCAAGTATTTGCAAACCTAGAATGATCCAACTTATACCTTCTTAACAATGGATGGAGTGTCAATTTGTTTACTAAATGGTCCGGAGGCTTTCATTTTTATTTTAATTTTCTTACTTTTTTGGATGAATTTTGTATATTCTTTCTAACTGCAATTTACATGCACAATATCCATGACTCTTTTTAATTTTCTTATAGATGTGCCTATTGCATGAAGCTCCCGTCAATGTTAGATCTAGGTGGTTGATGTATGTAGACTTGAAGCTGTGTTTAAGGTGGGCTATTTTTTATTATGTTAATGCAAATCATATCAGTTTAAAAATCTAATACATGTGGTTCTTAATGCACAGTTTTCAACTTGAGAAATGTTATTCTTCATTCCTCATCTATAGAGTAGAAATTTACTGGAAACTTTATTGTGTGAAAAGAAGAAAGCATATGTCGTAACTCGTATATCTGCATCATATTATAATAATTTTTTAGGTTTGTAGTGGATTTGGCCTTATCACTGTTAGTTATCTACCTCTAGCCGGGGACAAATGTGATTAGAGTTACTGTTACAATACTGTACAACATAATGCATAGATCATGACCTTAAATAGCTTGGTTATTTTCTTAATCACCTTAACTGACAAAATCTCTTTTATCTTTGAAAATGTTTTAGATGAAAGTAAAGGTATAGATCCTGTCTCACATTCTGATCCACGGCTTGATTTGTTTGCCATCTTGGTTAAATTTGAAAGCTCCGCATAAAATATTGAAATAACCTTTTGTTTCATGATATCATATGCCTGACAGGCTGAATGCTTTGGTTGATCGTTTTAAAATGGCATTGAATTGTTTCTTTGCCATTTGGTTTGTTCTCGGTAATGTATGGATTTTTGGTGGACACTCCTCTGCTGCAGGTGCGCCAAACTTGTACAGGTATATTTATTCTGAAAGTTTACTATGTCTACTAAAATTTTCCTTTTGCTACACTAGCATTATTAAATCGTTTTGATCTCCAGGTTATGTATAGCTTTTCTGGCATTCAGTTGCATTGGGTATGCCATGCCATTTATCCTGTGCGCAACAATTTGCTGCTGTTTCCCTTGTATAATTTCTTTCTTGGGCTTTAGAGGGGACCTAACACATACCAGAGGAGCTACATTAGCATCGATTAAGGCTTTTCGTTCTTACAAATTCATTTCAAAAAGAAATCTTAATCAAGAATTAAGTCAAATCATCTCTAAAACGCATGATGGTGGGATATTGGCTGTTGGTACAGACAAGGAGCGATTAATTTCTTTTGATGATGCTGTGAGTTTTTTACTTATCGGCTCAAATATCATATTGCATCCTTCACCTCAATGTTAAAATAAGTCAAGTTGTTTATTAATTGGGCATGCTTATATTTCAAAAATACTGAAATGCTTGCGTCTATTATATAAGATTATCTTGTTGGCAGTATGTGCTGAGAATTTTATGATCCCGAAATGTTGCATGCTGCGAAAGTTTTCGTGCTTAAACTTCTTTACTATTTACATCTATAATATTGTGGCTAAAAAATCCACTCCCTTCCTAATGCAAGATCACCTTAATATATGATAGTTATATGACAGTCTCAATGAAGGTTGACTTTATCTAACTGAACAGAATGACTCAATTACATCATGCTTGGCTCACGACAATTAGGCATAACCTTTTGATTCGGCTAGATAAAGCTTGCACAGTTTAATGGATTAGTCCATTTTAAATTTTGATGATCATATATTTGTGAGGCACATTGACCTCATCAGCATCTACGTTACATGGCATCTTGGTAATCGTTTGAATGCAAATTATAGCCATTTGATTCTTATTTGATGGTTGGATTGATGCTACCTGTGTAGATTTAGCTAACCTACTAAAAGTGATCTATTAATTACTTTTAGAATTATTTAACTAACTATAATATCTATTTAGAAAAAAAAATTAATTAAATCTCATTAATTTTAGAAAATCCTAATTTGCTTCTTTTTAATAAAATAATATTCTCTTTGTTTAAATGTAATTTCTACAATTAGAACAATAGTGTTATTATATGTTAACTAATTGTGAAAATGGATGATACCAGTGAGAAATATTTTGGTAATGAAGACTTAATTTGAAGAAAAATTGAAGAGCCATTAGGAAAAGTTAATTGAAGGTAGGATGTGTTAATTAGTAGGTTACAAATAATAGAAGCTTCATCCACAATGAGGGTTTTCATCTAAATTTCGATCTACTTTTCTTATTATTCAAGAAAAAGACAATGAGATTGACTCACAAGTTGAGAAAGAAAAATTTGAAGATGAAATTCTACTTGATAAAGAAATAGATTATGTGACTAATAGAGGAAATAATGACTAATAAATTTTGTTTAACTTGCTTTGTGAAATTTTAGAATTTATGAATTTAGGATTAACTTTTGCTCTGAATTAAATATATTTTATTTAAACTTGAAGTTAATATTTACATTAACTTTTTATTATTTTTTACGTAATAAAAGTTTTTGTTAGAAATTTTAATTTTCAACTTCAACTTTGAATTTTTCCTTCAAATAAACATGTATATCATAATTTTTTTCATTTTTATATGAAATTTTAAGTCATTTATTACATAAATCAAGCTTTGTATGTGTTACTAAATGTATCATTATATTTATTAAAAATTATTATTTGATGTGATTTTTATTGATGATATACAAGTTATAAGCATTCTAGTTGATATAAGTATTGCTTCTTTCTGTGCTTTGCGTATTGAAATTAAAAGGAATCCTTATACATTATATTACATTTTGCTCCTCAAAAATATTGTCCTTATCCAACTTATGATAATGAGCATAAGCAATACTTTTTAATTAAAATTTTTTTTCTTAATTGTCATGCGCAAGGCATAACTAACAATAGGAGTTTGCTCATATAGCAAGTTTAAATTCTTATTTCTTACATAAGAATTCTCTGCGACACGTCTATCCAATTTGCCTTCAAGGATTCTCCAATTGAAAGAATAATGTCTTATCTTTCAAGATTGTGTTTTCCCTTTCACCCATCATGGTGAGCCTTTCTAAGCCCGTGCTTATTTTATTTGTATCAGTAGGAATGTCAAGCCACTTTGAGCCGACCTTGCCTTAGAATCATACACTCTATTTCTTAATGATTTAGTTATGTCTTAAGAAAAGCGATTCAATCTCCTTTTATTACTATACTTTACAAATACATGTGTAAAGGCAAAGGAAAAATAAACATTTATGAATGATATGCCAAATCATTATAGCATGGATAGCAACAGGGATTACCTAGAAAAACACTAAACATGCAATAACTTAGTTGGCATATAGAAGAAAGACTAGGGATAAGAAATTAACTCGTTAACTACATAAAACTATATGATTATTTTTTCCTCAGGCAAGTTGAAATTCGTACTATGGAAAATTCACTTGGATTGCCCTAAACACTATCTACTTTTGTCTGAGCTTAAGCTCCAAATAATTTTGGGTCAGAATGGTATTTATGATTAAATTGTTATGGTTTTAAAATTTAATTAATGTTGCGAAGGTTTACTAAAGGTTGGCCAAATGATTTGTAGAATTTGGAATGCCTTTATAGATTGAGCTGACAATTGACACTAGAAGATTTCTAAAATTGTAGAGCTAATCACCGAACTCGAGGACATGTATATTTGTAAGTGGAGTTGAAAGCTGTCCAACTAAGTTAAACATGTGATTAAATGACAGTTGGAGTCCAACTCTTTCGAGCATTTGATTCTAACCGAAATATATTTACTTTTCTAGAAAATTGTAAATGCCACTCTTTAAGTTGATTCTATCGTGCAAGGCCTTGAAGATAAACAAATACTTTGTTTAAATTGGAGGAAAGTATAATCGAATTAGCATTAGTTCAAACACTAAGAATTGCTCGAAAGTTAAAGAAAGAGGAAATTTACTTATCATGGCCAAGTTCGTAATATTTAAAAAAAGAACGAAGAAAAAGCAAAAGAGTAAAAAGTGACCTCGTTATTCGTCTACCTCATCATATGAGACATGATGTCTTTTTGGCTTAGCACCCTTGATGAAGTTTAAAATTTGTTAGAAGCCCTTATGAAGAGGGTCAGGAAGAGATGATGGTTTCCTTTAGATTAAATTATATGTGCAGTTAAGGAAATGGTGAATAGGCTGAAAATCAATCAAACGTGAGAGCCATTAGGTTCACTTTAAAAGTTGGAGTGGGAGAATGAGACAATGCTAGTTCTTTTGATAACTTGGAAATATTAGGGTAATAGGTCTAGATATATATGGGAAATTTTCAAGATTTTGAAAAATGTTTAAATATTTTATATTTGTTTTAATTTTATTAAAGATTATTTCTTATGAAGCCTTAATCTGACCAACAGTGGTAGACTTATGTTTAGAGCATTAGCAAAGTATTTTGGGTGGGGAAAATGGCTAAAAGCACTTATAGATTGTTGAGTAGTTTTTATAGTTTGAATATAGTGTTGTTCACAAATTGTCAAAGGGTTAAGTGTTGCATATGGCTCTTGCTTACAAATTTTCAAGGGTTTAGTGTTCAAAATAGCTCATAAAATAATAGCAAGTCTTAGTAAAGAAAGCCCTTACCCAATAGCTTGAACACTATTTTCTTATTGTCTTGCTTTGTTTGTATTACGAGGTTTCTTTTGATTGCATTATTTATTAATACTTGATCTCAATGAATCATGCAGCGTTTATATACAATGACTAAGTGATGACAAAAAATTGGGAATATTTAATTAAGGATCACGCTTAGTAGCTTCTATTTAGGTCTCACTTGTATGAACTCATTGACATTCAATGAAGTGGCACTCGAAGCCGTCAATGAAAATGAAACATCATTAGTTGTTCAAATAGTAGGCTCTACCATATTATCACCATTTACATTATGTAGTGTGGATGGGGATGGGAAGTCTTAGCTAACACATTTAATTCTAATTAAAATGTAGAAGGGAGACAAAACAAATGAGCTTCTATTAACCATCTTAATCATAATTTGAGAGCAATAAATAGTCCTTGTCTCCTTGCTCATATCCGATTGGGTGGTCCGATAAACAAGTATATTTGGAAGAACCGATCTCAAAACAAAATTTATGGCATACTTGATCTCTCTTTGTGACAACGAAGGAGGTAAATTTATAATTAGGACATTTGATAACTCACTCAACATGAGTTTTCTTATGTTTTTTATCAACTCTTTGGACTCTGTATCATCTAGAACAAACAATGCTAGTATTATTGGTGCTTCTCTTATAGGATCAATTAGAAGAATTTGTCAGATCACTAATATCTCTATATCGTCGGCTGAAGTTTTTTACTCATCTCTGACACCCTCATTTTCTCCTATGTCATTGTTTATTTTTCTAGTTTTTCCCTTCCAAGTGAAAGAGATCACGTGTTTGTTTGGGCAATCGAAAGCAATGTGCTCAAACTAGTGGCCTTTGAAGCACTTCCTGGTTAAGATAACTTTGGGAATACTGGTGATCTTTTTTACTAGTGGTCTTTTTTATTTTCTCTACTTTGGATTGGTTTTTCATTGGGCTAGTCGGTTGGGTTCTCCATAAGTTGTACTTGTGTTGTTCGATCCTAATATTATTTTGTTATCTCTCCATAATTAGTACCATGATATGGGCATCCTGTAATGTTTAGGACGATAACCCTATCGTGTTGCTAATGGACAGTCTCAATCCCCTCAGATATCAGGTTGTGGTGTTTTCCTCTGTTGACATCAATTTTTGGATATCATAGGTGTAGGGTGTCCACATGTGATCGACGAAAATTAGTTATCGCGTCATGCACAAATTTGGCTCAAATTAACCTGAGCACCTGCGAGCTTGTTCATATGGCCCCAAACGACAAAATGGACAACACGAGTGAGTTTGGAACGTCGATTCCACTTGGAAAAGGCACTTGTTGCACCACGATTTCACGTACGGGCTTAAAATATGCATATTATTATTATTTTGACACGATAGTCGAAAAAGTGGTCCGAACGACCCCGGACGACTAAACGGACCACACCGGTGCGTCCAGAACATCAATTTTACTTAAGGGACTCATTCATTTTATCGCGATGACGTGTTCGGCGAAAATGCACGGAGAGAGGTTAATTGAATAATAATAATTATTATTATAGACAGTCGTAACTCTCTAAAAGAGGGAAATGAAAATTTCCCTCTCTTATCCTCCCTCTCCTCTATTCTCTCCCTCTCCAAAAAAAAAAAAAAAAAAATAAGAAAGATGAAAAGAAAAAAAAAAAAAAAAAAAAAAA